TTTAAAAATGAACAACATAATATGATTTTAATAAAATCTATTAGTATAATACTTAATTAGATGATACTGTATTTAAGAAAAAATTGTAAAAAGTTGTAAACCAGAAGGTGTGTTACAGTTCAACAAAAAATATAAATGTTAATATAAAATTGTAATATATTACGCGATGTTACAGTTATATATAAATCATTAACTGTAGAATATATTACATATCAAGTGGTTTTAATGCACAGTTATTTATTTAGTCATATATATGTTTGACATAGTATTTAACCATAGTACATGACAGAAACGTTACGCTCATACATGGTAAGCTGTAATAGTTGCACATTATGTCAATATTATCAGGTTTCATTTAACTGATGCTTGCTGGACTGATTTAAGCGAGTTGCAAGATATGTTTTAAACCAATTTTTTTTTTAATTACCTGCTATGACTGTTTTTAGAATCGTAGGTTTCTTTATTCTTTGTACTTACTTTACTGTAAGATAGGAAACAATAGGTAATATATTATAACGTAACGAATAAATGCTAAATTGTAAAAATTCCACAGTTTTTGCAGTTTGGTAAACTCCACAACTAGTTTCTTTTTTTTATGTACTGCTTTCACTATATCTTGATAAGTTTTTTAATAATTGCATACTGTACTGACCAATTAAAATAGTATTTATAAGAAAAAAAAGTTGAACTAATAATAGAGTTAGGATGTATTCTGTGCAATATAGTACAGCAAGTGACATTATGAGGTTTGCATTTAACTAGTGCTGTAAAATGCATTTAAGGATTAATTTAGAAAAAAGTTGATTAAATAAAAATACATAGAATAAAAAGTTAACTGAATACGACAGATAGGAAATAAAATGAATAAATTACCAAAAAAAGTTTAACTAAATAGAATAGATCCGATGTATTTTGTGCAATATATTACAGCATGTAATATTATCAGGTTTGCATTTAACTAGTGTTGTAAAATGCATTTAAGCATTAATTTAGAAAAAAGTTGATTAAATAAAAAATACATAAAATAAAAAGTTAACAATATGACAGACAGAAAATAAAATTAATAAATTACCAAAAAAAAAGTTTAACTAAATAGAATAGATCCGATGTATTTTGTGCAATATATTACAGGCTGTAACATTATCAGGTTTGCATTTAACTAGTGTTGTAAAATGCATTTAAGCATTAATTTCAAAAAAGTGTATTAATTAAATAATATATAAAATAAAAAGTTTAACTGAATACGACAGATAGATAACAAAATGAATAAATTACAAAAAATAAGTTTAACTAAATAGAATAGATCTTATGTATTCTGTGCAATATAATGGTTATACTGTAAGGTGTAGAACAATAGTGCAAATGCAAAAAAAGCAAAAAAAAAAAATCTTCACTGTAATATTTGTAGGTTTTTGTAATTTGATACATTTACTCCATGCCATAATGCCCAATAATAATTATTTTTATAATGGTAGGTTTTTTAATGCATACTGTACTGAACATTATTGAAAAACAATTACTTTAAATAAGGCAGAAAGATCGTATTCTGTCCAATATAATACAGCATGTAACATTATCAGATTTGCATATAAGCAGGGGTGTAAAATGCATTTAAGAAAGTAAAACTGTAAGATTACAATTATTAATAAATTAATTGTTAATGTAATTTGATAGATGTAATCCACACCAAGATTCTTCTTTAACCAACAGCTTCTTTACCAATAATGACTATTTACATCATCGTAGTGGTTTTTTAATCCTAAACACAGTTTTAGAAAAGAAGTTTAACTATATAAGATGTATTCTGTACAATATTTGACACGTTACATTATCAGGTTTAAACATCTATGAACAATGTTTTACTACCTAAAGTATTAACAAATGTGTTTAAACAAAACGAAAAAAGGTAAGAAGTAAAATCATTTTTAATTGTCAATAAAGACAGCTTTCATATTCGTAGCGGTTTTTTTTTTAATCAGTGCACACTTTACTGAGCACCCTTTTAAAAAATAAGTTAAGAAAATAAGAAAAAAAGACATATTCTTTGCAATATATTACAGCATGTAATGGTATGAGGTTTGCATTTCAGTAGTGTTTTCTAGAGTAAATTTAAGCAAGTTGATCTGTACGACATACAACAATTATGTATTTAACAAAACCGATTAAAACCTGTAAACTTGATGTAATAATTGTAATTTGCTAAACTCCATACTGTTTCTTTTTTAAAATAATCATCCCATGACTTTTTTCATAATCGTAGAAAAGAAGCTTAAGTACTACCACTCAATTGATATATCTATATTGCAGCATATAGAACAATTGGAAATGTAATTAAATAATAAACTGATAAATTTCTGGTATGTCTGTAGGCTGTATTTTGTGTATGTCTGATTATACTGGTATCGTTTTGTATTTTATCAATTTTCCACCACGTTTTGTGTTAATTACGTTCGCTTAATCCTCTCTGGTAAACAAATAAACTGGGAAATCGATCAAAACCGTAATCCGACAAAAGTGTCGTTCCAAAGGGAACGACTACATTTCATCACTTTTACCAGGTTAATGTGATTTATGAGATAAGGTGAATATTCTGTGTAATATATTACATCATAAAACATTACCGTTTTGCACTTAACTAGTGTTTTAAAATTTATTTATTCAGATTAAACTGGACGCTATAGAATAATTGTTAAAGCATTTGACAAAACCGAAATCCGCTAAACTGAAACTGTAATTTGATGTAAACATTCCATACCAATACTCTCATTTAAAATAACCAAAAACGATTATTTTTTTAAACATAAGCTCTACACACTTACTAAACATTAGTTTTGAAGAAAAAAAGTTAAACAATACGACAGAAAGGACGTATTCTATGCAATATATTACAGCATATGCATACTAGCATTTTCGACCAAGTTGAACTGTAAGATACAGAACAATTGTTATGCAAAAACGAAAAAAAAGAAGCTAAATGTAAAACTCTTTGTATTTTTAATTTGATAAACTACACATCGATTTTCTTTTTAATTGTTCTGCCAGACTGTTTTCGTAATCGTAGGTTTTTTAAATCACTATACCCTGTACTGGACACTGTTAAAAAAGAAGAGGTTTAACTAAATGACACAAAAAAGACGTATTCTGTGCAATATATTACAGTCTGTAACATTATCAGGTTTCCAGTAAATTTTAGACTATATTAAGCAAGTTCGACTGTAAGATTGTTAATGTATTATACAAAAACGAAAGAAAAAAGCTAAAATGAATTCTCTTTTTATTTATATTTTTAATTGATAAACTCCTCACCAATTTTCTTTTTTAATTGTCCAGTAATCACTGTTTTCATAAATAGTGCATTTTTTAAATCGCTATATCCTGCAATGAACATTATTAAAAAAGAAGCAATTTAACTAAATAAGAGAGAAGAGACGTATTCTGTGCAATATACAACATTAAGCACTTTACAACATGAAACATTATCAGGTTTCAATACTTATGTATAATGTTTAATTACCTACAGGTATAACAAACGTGTTTAAAAAACGAAAAAAGTTTAACTAAATAAGACAGAAAAAGAGATATTCTGTGCAATATAATACAACATAAAACATTATCAGGTTGAAACACCTATGTATAACGTTTAATTACCTATAGGATTAACAAACATGTTTAAAAAACGAAAAAACGTAAAAAGGTAAAATCTTTTATTAGAGTCCAGTAATGACTGTTTTCATAATAGTATGTTTTTAAAACACTACACCCTTTGCTGAACACTTAAAAAAAAGAATTTTAACTGAATAAGACAAAAAAGACATATTCTGTGCAATATATTACAAAATGAAACATTATCAGGTTTAAACACCTATGTATAAAGTTTACCTACTTACTGGTTTAAAAAACGAAACAGGTTAAAACTTTTTTTAAAATATACAATACCTAATGATCTTAAGTTTTTTTATCAGTACACACTCAAGAAAAAAAAGGAAAAAAAAGTTAAACTAAATAATATAGTAGGAATGTATTCTGTGTAATATATTACAGCTTCCAACATTATCAGGTTCGCATTTAGCCAGTGTTTTCTAGACATAAATTTAAGCAAGTTTAAGCATAAGATATAGAACAATTGTTCATATAATTAAATAATAATTGCAGTTGTTTTTTTAATTTGATAAATTCCTTGAAAGGCTGTATAATGTGTATGTCTGCTTATATTGGGAGAGTTTCGTACTTTATCAATTTTCACAACGTTTTGTGTTAATTACGGTACGCTTAATCCTCACTTGTAAACAAATAAACTGGGAAATCGTTCGAAACCGTAATCCGACACTTTGGGAACGACTACACCTCGACACTTTTACCGGGTTAATGTTATAAATAAGATAAGCCAAATAATTACACGAGTTTAGTTTTTAAATTAAACAATCTTTGAACTTATTTTAAAAGATAATTGTTAGTAAGAGGATAATAATATAAAAAAGACAGTTTCCATGGTTGGAAAGTAACCTCGCTTCCCATTTTTGACACTTGTTGCTTTTAACATTCCACGGCTTCGAAAACAAAACGCTTTGTAGGAAAAGCCAAGAATTCGACTTTTTTTTTGTCTAATTGGTCTAATTGATTTTTATAAAAGTTTTGAATGTTTTGGGGTTGTTTTTGTTTTTATTAAACTGATTTTTTTTCTTTTTTAATAAGACGAAAATAGAATGTGTTCTCCGTCGGATTGTAAGGGACGGAAAACGATCGGAGTATAATTTAAATGCGGGTAAGATCCCGTATTTGCAATGGAGTTAAAAATATGTGAACATTCCAATGGGAGTCGAGGCACGAGAGAGGGAATTCAGCCTTGTTATTTCAGTCATTCGATAGGTGGATTCCGTTTTTCCGGATTGGAAAGAAAAGGCCAATAAAGATAGAAAATAAATAGAAAAATCGAGGTAGTGGACGGAAACCCGATCGCAACGGGCCCTGGCCCCTGAGGAACGAGAAAATGATCAACTCACCTGAATAAATAAACTTTTCCCGTCGGATTTGTCGTCCAGAGTCGGGTGAGGGCGGAAAGTCGGAAATCTCCTCCAAGGAAGAAGGGAACGGGTCGAATTGGGAACGGGTGGCTCCGAGTTTCGCCACGGATTCCGAGCCGAGGTCCGGCCGTCGTCGTCGTCGTCCTCCTCGCTCACACACTAAACATAACAACACCCGCGCACAGCACACACTTCGGCGGTGGAGAGGTCGAGAGGAAAATGCCGCCGGGGCGGGCGTGAGATTTCCTCGGGGCTCCGACTGCCGCTCGGCCCAAATTTGGTCGGGGCCCGTCAAAAACGGCCCAGGGAAAACAAATGGAAACTAATAAATAGGGGTAAAAGGGTAGGAGGCAAGCCGAGGGCCGCCATATTGCCACATTCCGATCTAGTGATCCTCTACTACCCGTTTTCACCAGAAACCCAAAAGAATGTGGATAATTGTTACTTTTATTTCATACTACCTTTGTCGAAAATTACGACCCGATTTAACATCGCCCCATACAATTCAATAAACAATCACGTACATTACACCTACACTCCTTATAATTCCAGTCCAGACTGGAAATACGATAAACCACAGAAAACACTCAAAACCGAACAACCATACAAAATACAAAATCTCAAAACAAACAAATAAAATAATCTAATTAACACAATCTAACAAAGAAAAAATATTCCTTACAAAAACCAACCACATTTAACAATAAAATAACAAAAATACTCATCAAAAATAAGAAACATTAAATAGCAACCTCCGCGCTGGTTACCGTTGTTGTGTTTTGGACGTTCATGCGATAATGGACTGGTTCTAAATTTCTAATTGGCAGGACGAATTTGGCGATGGAGGACTTTGAAAAATGGCTTTCCAGCTTTTTCTGCCTCCTCTCCCAGCTTTGTTTCGACAAGGCCAAAGAGCTCCTGGTACGATTTTATTTCACGTAAACTTCAAAAACAGTGATGTCAATGCTGATGATAGAACGTTCAGTCATTGCGAACCAACAAAACTGACTAAAATTTTGAAGTACTGACTGTGGTCTACACTGTGATAACTACCACCTTTCACCATGCTTACAACTTACAATGCTGGGTGATGAACTTGTAATGATATTTGCCATCTTTGCCATTTCAACAAGTTCATTTATCACCCTGGTATGATTTTATTTACATGAAACTGTGAGTGCGGAGACGTCAATGCTGATGACAGAACGTTCAGACAATGCAAACCTATAGGACTAAGCACTTACCTTTTTCTATACTGTACTTACTGCCGTTGTCACCATACTTACAACATAGAATGCTGGGTGATAAACCTGTATTGATGTTTACATAAAACTTAAAATACAGTGATTGCAATGCTGATGACAGAACATTCTGTCATTGCGAACCTACAGCACCTTAAATTTTGAAGCACTTTGTTCAACACTATGGTGACTGTAAGTCTGGATGATAAACTTGAGTTGACATTTTTCAATTTTCATCATTAAAAAAGTTCAAGTAGCTCTTGATAAGTTTATGTTTACATGAAACTTAAAGAACAGGGTTGTCAGTGGTGACATCAGCACATTCAGACCTGGCAAACCTGCAAGATTAGCCTAAAGTTTTAACCACTGACTGAGTTCCTACATTATGGTGTTTACCATCTTTCGCCATACTTACAACTTAGAAGGCCGGATGAAGGGCTTGTATTGACATTTGCCATCTTTGTAATTTCAACAAGTTTATTTATCTCGCTAGTATGATTTTATTTACCTGAAACTTTGAGTGGGGAGATGACAATGCCGACAACAGAACATTCGGACATTGCAAACCTACAGGAGTAACTTAAATTTTGAAACACTGGCTGTGTTCAACACTGTGGCTACTACCGTCTTTCACCATATTTACAACGTAGATGTCTGGTCGATAAATTTGTATTGTCATTTTACACTTTTCATAATTAAAAAAAGTTCAAGTAGCTCGTGGCAAGTTTTTATTTATATGAAACTTCAAGAACAAGTGGCGACAGAAAGTACAGTGCTGATGAAAAAACAGCAAACCTACAGAACTAATTTACATTTTGAGCAGAGATTGTGTTCTACACTGTGGTGGCTACATTTTTCTCTAAGGACTTAGTGTAATTTAAACTTATAACTTATGAGTCTGAACGATAAACTTTTTTTGTCCTTTGAACTTGCATATCAGCCAGAGAACATAGTTGAGTAGTTGATTGTCTCACTGTAGTTGAGGAGAAGGGTATCGAGAAACAAAACCTGGGGCGACAGAGGGAATTGACGGACTACGAGCCGAGAGCCTATCTAGCTAACTACTCGGCTACTGCGGTCTCCTGATATACTTGTATTGACATTTTACCATCTTTGTTATTTCAACAATGTCAAGCAGCTCCCTGGTATGATTTTATTTACATGAGACTTTGAGGGTGGAGATATCAATACTGATGACAGAACGTTCAGGCATTGCGAGCCTACAGGACTAACTTACATTTTAAAGAACTTATTGTGTTCTACATCATGGTGACTACCGTCTTACACCATATTTACAACTTAGAAGGTTATACGATAAACTTGTATTGATGTTTTATCATTTTCATCATTAGAAAAAGGTCAAGTACCTTCTGGCAAGATTTTATTTACTTAAAACTAAGTACAGTAATGTCAGTGCTGATGACGAACGTTCAGCCATTGCAAGTCTACAACTAAGGTCTGTTTATACAGATTCCAATGGCTGGGCAAACTTCGCCATGAGTATCTATAAACTGAATGCTTTAATTAACCTTAACATTTTGTGAACTGAGTGTCGAACTGGCAGATCATTAATGGTCACCTGCCTAATAACTCCCTTTGGGTCAGTTAAAAATTAAAAGAGGCCCATCATTTTGAAGAAGAACATTGTAATCCCTCGCTATAACTTTCTTGAAGTCAGCCATAAGAGGGTATTTTATTTCACTCAGGTCAACTTTCTTTTTAGTTTGAATTCAGGCCAAGTAGCAGTAATGTGAATCGCAATAACAACGAATGCTGTGGTAAATTTTTCAGTCAGCTATCGCTGAAGGCGATGATCTCAGTCAGACAGACAAAAAAAGTCTATCGGGTAGAAAAACAAATAGAAGATAGATATTGCAAGCCTACAAAACAAACTTAAATTTTAAAGCACTGATTATGATCTACATTGAAGTGAATATTCTCTCTACATCTTAGACTTGATGAGTGTCAATTCTCAAATTAGAAAGCTGATTTATATTGTGGCAAAGTGAACAAGATGGTAAACATAAAATATCAGCCCCAAAAATTGGAGAAGGAATGCCAGCCACTATAAAAAGACGTTGAGTTCCTTTGCAATCCAACAGTGACTGTTATGCAAGAGACAAATGTACCAATCAGTGAACCAGTTGCGGTGTATAAAAGTTGCCGGTCCTGGTCATGTCTATCACTACCAAATGGTAAAAAAGAACGCCCAAACCAGTATTGACCAAGTAACATGTGCTTGATGAACGGCCTGAACATATAAGCAAGGCTGGCGGTCCCATCATTTACCACTCTTATTGGTGAAGAATGAGAGTTTTCCATCTGCTTAGTGCATAGAAACTGGTGCAATATAATGCGTGCATACTGTCCGTAATGCCAGTGGCACCAACATAGTGGTCACTGAGTTCCTCATTTTCATCATTAAGAAAAGTTAAAGTAGCTGCTGCTGTTTTATATACACAAAACTGTCAATGTTGACGATAGAACATTTATTTATTTATTATTATTTATTTTAAAGGTAGAAATAGTGCTTTATGCTTTAAAGTTAGTCACGAGCTGAATTCAAGCCCACCTTCAACCCAAGACCTTAGATAATAATTAACAATGTCAATTATGACTGCTAAACGATTATAGATTAATATAATAATTAGAGAAGTATTCACTTTGGTAACAGCTCCCCGTGCCCACTTGTAATTTAAAATTTAATCATTAATGTCCTTTTTTCCTCTAAAATTTAAATGGTTTGTCAGCATTATTGTATGCCAGTTTGCAGCTCCCAGCCTTGTTTGGACAAACCACAGTAGCTTCATTACTATTCACTTCACATATGGAGATAGTAGCATGGAATTTTTCTTTTTTATTAGTATTACTATACTCCCCCCCTTTCTAAAATTGGAACAAGGGTCCCAATAACACACCCAAATACTGCGTTTATTATTGGGCGCCATGTTTACTCACCCCCTGTAAACTGTGCAACCTTTCTCTACAAGCGGGAATTTGATAAGGATTTGCCCCAAATGGCCATCCATGTATCAATCAAGTATAGCCTTGCTTAAAATGGGTGAATGCGGTACCTTTCTTGTATCAACCATCAGCTGACCATCGTTCAGTTGTGCATTCATGCAAACGCTTCTAGAAGATTCAGCCCATTGATACTGCCAACATTCTTTTGTAGCTTTGCTGATATGTGTTCTACAGTGCAATAAATATTCTTTTGTGCTTCATAGTTTATGATCTTGATGAGGATGGCAATTTCAGTACTTGATGGGTTTGTGGGTTGCTTGTACAGTCCCATAAAATGTGAAAAAGTTTGTCAGCAATATTATTGTTCACCTGGCCTCTTTCAGCTTTGTTTTGGTCAAGACCTAGTTTGTATCGGGTTGTCCGGAAAATAATGCAGGATTTTAAGTTTTCATTAAAAAAAATCTATATAAAATATTCTGTTTACGTTTACAGGATTACTCATTCTTCCAAATGATATTGTTTGTTTACCTCTGTAGCATTCCGCTACTTGGAAATAATTCAGTCATCCTTATAATGTCAAAGCGAGAATTTCGTACGATTTTCTTTTACGAGTTTAAACTCGGCCGAAGCGGAGCCCAAACGGCTAGAAACATTAACCAAGTCTGGGGCGAGGGTTGTGTTAATGAGTGCACTGTGCAAAGGTGGTTTAAAAAATTTCGGGAGGGAGATTTCAGCCTTGAAGATGAAGAAGGTCGTGGAAGGCCTTCCTCTCTTAATGATGATGTTCTGCGATCAGTGGTGGAAGAAAACCCCAAAACAACTGTTCGAGAACTTGCAGAGCAACTCAAAGTCAGTAAAACGACCGTCGCTGACCACCTCAAGGCGATTGGAAAAGTGAAAAAACTCGAAAATTGGGTTCCACACTCATTAAACGATCGCCAAAAAAATCAGCGCTTTGATGTTTGTGCATCACTTCTTTGTCGAAACAAAAATGACCCATTTCTGGCCAGAATTGTTACATGTGACGAAAAGTGGATTCTCTACGATAACACTAGACGTTCTGGACAGTGGCTCGACAAAGGAGAAGCTCCAATACATTTTCCAAAGCCCCCAACTCATCAAAAAAAGGTAATGGTTACGGTATGGTGGGCTTCATTTGGTTTAATACACTACAGCTTCTTAAATCCTGGCGAAACCATCAATGCTGAATCATACTGTAACCAAATTAATACCATGCATCAGAAATTGGCAGTAATGAAGCCCTCTTTGGTCAATCGGAAAGGGCCCATTTTGTTGCATGACAACGCTCGACCACATGTGTCACGTGTAACGTCACAAAAATTATTGGAGCTTGGCTATGAAACTTTGCCTCACCCACCCTACTCTCCGGACCTCTCGCCTACTGACTACCATTTTTTTAGACACCTGGACCACTACTTACAACACATAATATTCAAAAATCAAACGGAACTGGAAAATGCATTTATTGACTTTATCAATTCTAAAAATTCTGAATTCTACTCAGACGGAATTAATAAGTTACCAACACGTTGGGAGAAATGTATTGAGAGTATGGGAAATTATTTTGATTAAAGAACATTGCTTTAAAGTAACTAGTTTCTTTTTTTTTGTTTAATACCAAAATCCTGCATTATTTTCCGGACAACCCAATATATGCAGTTCATACAGTTAAAAAGACTGTCTAGACTTTTCTTAGAATAAAATGCACAAATATGGTTCAATCCCGGCATAGCCCAGGGCCTTTTCATTGATTCAGCAATCATAGTAAGTAAAAAGTATGGTAAGGTGGTTTGACCCCTCAACTGTGTCACCCAGCACACAGTAGGACCAAATGCGTTAAAGCCCTCCTGTACGAGGAAACAATGTGATTTAAAGTCACCTACCTAATTGAATCAAGACAAATCCATTTAAACTGTAAAGGTATGTCATGGGGGCTGCAAAATATTAAATATTATTGTTTAGCTTGTTTCTACTGTATTCCTTGCAATTTTTACCTAAGATAATAATTTGGCCTTTCTTAATGTATTTTCTCATATAATTCTGTGTTCTTGGGTTATAAATTGTAATATTCAATTTGATACTTTATTCTGTTAGGACAGAGAAAAAGAAATCGCAAGGCCAGGACTAAAGCCATTTTTCACCCAGCTCACCTCGTTTATGGAAGCAGAGAAATCCTATTTAAACCTTGGCTTTCTATCAAGTAAAAATAAAATGTTTCTAAGAAAAGAGGTATGTTTATTGTTTATTACTCAAGCAAATGTCCAAATTTGATTTTTTATAGTTTGCTTTTAATTTATCTAGACATCTTTAAAATCTCTATACGAAATGATAAGAAACGAAGTTCACAGACTGGAGGAAAATGCACTTAACGAAGCTGTAGATAATTCAATTGCCACACAATTCTGCCAATTTCTTAATGCTAGGAGAGATTTAATAATTTTGTATCCTGCATCTCACACTAATTGATATTTTAATCAGATTTCTTTTTTTTTATTGTCCTTATAATAAATAGATACGAACAAATTTACAATTCAGGAGTGTCTTCAAAGCACACTAAGTACGAAGAGATTAAAAACCAGGTCGAAATCTGTATTGAAAAGTATAAGTGTTCTTTTACGAACCCGACATTGTTGCACATAAAAAATCTGTTCGAGTAAGGCTGTCCTGTATTAAAATAGCTACAATATCACTTTAGAAGATAATTATTTTTATATTAGCTGGGAGACGGATGTTCTGATGAACCTGCTCAGAGCCCAAATTGCTCTCCAACATTGGGACATGGTCCAGTCCACGATACACTTGCATACAGCCCATTCCATTCTGAATACATGGGAAAAATCGCTACAAAGCAAAGAGGTACAGTCAGGTAAATGGGTAAAGTTTAAAATCTGAACTGAAAAAAAAAGATTCAGTTTTGATTTTAAAATTTAAAAAAAGTATATGCCTGAATCTAAGGAAATACTTAGAAAGCATGTTTACAGTTGAATTAATCTGTTAGAATGTATTTCTAGATAAGAAGATTGGCATTATAAAAAAATTTCTGCAGACTTGGAAATTGGGGTTCCTCAAGGGAAGTCAGCTGCCACAACTTTACCAGTGGCTTGTTAAACTTAAATACGCCATGGTAAATAAATATACGTTTTACTTCTACCAAACACTCTCACAACAAGCGGCACCTCAGGATACCAGGAATTACCTTTCTACTAGGTTCAATACAGATTTGATCCTCAAGTAATTGATTCTATTGTGTTCAAACATTGTAAGTTTTATACATATTTTGAATTTTAGGTTTCAAAATTTGCAGAAGAAATGTTTTGCAACTTGTGTCCTTTTGCTGTTCGATCCGAAAGGCCTGCCAGAATGGACCGGGCCTGGTTACCATCATCCAGCAAGGCCAAAAGAAACCCACGACCAGCATATTATCATGAACGCACATCCTTATGTAACAACAAAATTTGACACATTACTTTTCACCTTTTTTTCTAATATATTTTAATTACAGAAAATGACGGAGAAATTGCCCATCATGACTAAAATACTTTCAGAAAGAAACGCATCGGCTATGGAACCAGATAAAGTCGTCTCGTTTTACGACTCTCAGGACAAGTGTTCTTACTTCATGTGCAACATCGACCCAAGGGTGACTCTAGTCGTTGCGTTAGAAGGGAAAAAAGAAGATAGAGACTCAAATTTAAATATATACATGATTGACTTTTGTACTCAGGCGAGATTCACTAGAATTTTTGCGTCTTTGAAAATATCAAAGTGAAATTCGAATGTAAATCGTTCCAATTAATTTCTTTGTTTTAAATATAAGAATTTTTAATATAATATATTTATTATTTTATCTTAAAACTCATTATTATATGTGTATTAATAATGGAGGAATGATCATCAAACAGCCCCAGTCTTAAAATTAATTACATTTGTAATATATTTTCCTTTGCAGTCAAGTTATAATTAAAAGTTACAGAGAGGGCTTTATAAATACCCATTGGGTGTTAAGGACAAGTAGCCTGAACCACTTTAACAATCTTCTTTTCATTTTATCAAATAAAATTCCAAGTCTATGCCAAATGAACCTAAAACTGCCAGAGATAGCTGCTCTAATGACTCAGCCACAGTCCGTTATTAATAATGAACATATATTTATGAAATTAACTTTTGGCAGTTCTCACTAACCTGTACAACTGTTCCCAGGCTGGAATTTAAATTATATGTGTACCTCACACAAGCTATATAACAATATTTATTTAGGATCCACAGTAGTCAAGTGGTTAAGGAAACTGACTCACGAGATAGATTCTACAGTCGTGGGTTCAATCCCAACATCACATATGTATTTTTCTGCCTTCTTCATGCGTAAGGGGAGTGGTGCCCTCAAAGTTGATGCGGATCATTTCATCGATGGAAGGTATGCAGGATCAGGTCACAGCAACCCTGAATTCGATCCTGATCCCCTTCAAAAATGAGTTTCTTCGATAGAACGCGGACACACTACAGGCTTAATTTGCCCCCAAGAGCTACAGTGCTTAGTGAGAACTCTTCTAGTTCCTCGCATCCGTAATTAATCAATTTAAAAAAAAAATACTCTTCTACATATAAGATTAACAGATTTTAAGTTTAACAGATCATTTAGTTTAATATTTTACCCAGTATTCCAACAGCCGTGATGCTACTGTGAATTTCGTCTGAAATGACAAACATTTTCCATTATGACTTGATTGCTCTGATTTTGGAAGGGAGAACAAAAATAAGTGACAAAACAGAATAGATCCATTTTCACTGACAGGCAAAAAAAAGTGGTCACCATTAATATTTTTAATTATCTCTTGTACATCCATTGATTATTTCACAATATTTGGCCCATTTTAAAGGATTAGAGGTAAATAAAATACAGATAAAATCTTCCACGTGCGTTTACAATTGGATTTTGTAAATAAATCTTTAAATAGTCAAACTCTTTTCTGCTGGTTGTTCTATAAAACTTTCTAACATTCCGGTGGTTTGATTTTTTTTAAGTCGTACCATTTTTAAGTTTTTCAACTTTGTTTGATTGATGGTTTTAAGTGATACAGATTCAGTTAGAATCAGCATAGTTGAAAGATGGAAGAAGTCAAGTCTATGTTACCAGGGTGATTAACATTCCCGCAACTGTCCGAAAGGTCTTCCAAGATACTGGAGGTTACTCGAGAAGGCACGGATCAGGTCATCAACGTGTCACATCTGAAAGACGATCACTTTATTGTTCTGAATATACTCTGAAATCGACATTCTACCTTTATTGAGATCAATCAATGACTTTCAATAAGTTAGAATTGTTAATGAAAGTTTACACACAGTATGGCAAAGACTTTCATTAGTTGGATTTCATGCGAGAAGTCCGACTGGTCCAGAACTTCTGACAAGGCACAGAACAGCTCAGTTAAGTATCGCAAGAAATCACATAAATTGGACCTAGCAAGATTGAACTAAAATCTTGTTTTTGAATGAGTCAAGATTTTGTCGTCTTCTGATGGCTGAGAGAGGGTTTGGAGAACAGGAGAGCGATATAACTCTGTAACATTCTCACAAGTTATGTAGGTGGTTGTTATGGTTTGGACAGGCATTTCTATGGAAGGTCGCACAAACTTTATCTTCATCAAGGGTTCCCTAATAGCTGTGCAATACACTGAACTGTGTTATCAGAAGTTGTTCCTTGTATGCCGCTAACTGGTCACTGCTAAAATTTTGTTAATGGCTTGCAGTTCAATAATCTGTTGTATTCAATAATGAACACACTACACAGTCATGAAAACCAAAAAAAAATTGTTGACAACTAATTTCAATATCGTGGTATGGCAACTGTTGGAGCACTGGCTATACAATCCATGCTCATTGCAAACCGCCGGGTGAGTGGACAGCTACAAATTAATAGAATATTTTTGACTTCGCCTATGGCAGCATGGGTCGGTCACTGCCTTACCATTTCCAATCATCATATAATGAAATGAAATGTGACATGCTGACCAGGATGGTCGGAGATGATAGGTTATCACTTCTACATGTTGTTATACATAGCATTATTATTATTATTATTATTATTATTATTATTATTATTGGTGAAAGGAGGCATGAGAAAGTATGCCCTAACCAATTTGAAAAATATGCTTTTTATGCTATTTCTTTTCCCAGACATAATTTTACTAAAAAAAGTATAAATATAATGGTATAATAGCTGATCTAGGAGGAGCAGAGTATGTAAAAAAAAAGTTCTTCTGGTATCTTTAGCTTTATTTACAAAAATAGATGTACAATATTATAATTTAGTAACAAATTCATTCCAGAAAATGAACCAATTATAAATATATAGAAAAATTAACAACGATAATTTTAATAGTAACAAGTAAAATTTGAAACATAGAATTCCCAGTCCTGTATTCTGTACACAATTATTTAAATCCTCTAGCTATATACCGAAACATTGCTAAAGTTATTCTAGAAAAAAAAAATTAAGGCAAGTAAACAGCTTCAGCCCTTTGGAAATGCATATCTCACAGTTTCGGTTTCTGTTCCGGGTAAGGTAAACCCCCTTCGACATACTTATCCTTTTCCTGTTCCAAATATGCCCTACATTCCTCATCCGACAGTGGCAGTTCTATAAATAAACAACAGAAAAAGTTATTTAAAAATACTTTTTATTGATTTCAGTCATGATATACTTACTTAAGTGTTGAGATAAAAACTTCAATATTAAATTATTGTTAATTTTAGTTCCGACCTCTGGTTTAAGTTTTGGCATCGTCAAATTTTGCCAGTAGCCAATAATGTGCGGCATGTCAGTTTGGGTTTCATGTGTCGTGTTCCTTTGACAAATTCAAAAAATAAATATTTGTTCAAAATTAAAAAAAATTAACATACTTTATTGTGTAAAGTTCCTTGTCCTTTGGAAATAAATTGATTATGTTCTGCATAACTTTCAAATTGGGCTCCGTGTGAAACGTCCGAGTGTTAATGAACAAAAGAGGTTTATCTATTTCAATACATTCATCTTTTAAAGGAAACATCCAACCATCCAGAATCACACCACATCTGTAAAAAACTTATCTTTACAACACTTTTGACCATTTGTACGTTCCAACTTACGAAATTCTATCATCAGTTTGCATCGTTAATAATGAAGTAGCTCCTCCGAACGAATGCCCAGATATACAAACAGAATTTAAGTCTAAAAGCCCCTGGAACATAAAGAACCGTTTAAAATTGCAATCAAACCCTATATAAAAATTTACCTTAAAAAGCTGAAGGTCAAATGTACTCGGAAGTACGTTGGTCACTTCTCCTCTGTTCAAGTCCTCAAGGATGTCGAGTATTTTTTTCATTTCATCGACTCTCTTGTGCAACTAAAAGTTTTTTTAAATCTATTTTTTTATATTGTTTTTAAATACACAAGGTTTATTGTTTGAACGGTTAGATTAGTGTACAGGATAAACCATGCACCTGTTCATTTCTTATTTCATAGTGATTAGGAGGAAACGTCATCTTTATGTGTTCAATATAAGTCGGGGTGTCGTTATCTCTGGCTGCTTCGTCTTCATAATAGTACGTCATATTAGCAGAAGTGTCTCTGACAAACAACAATAATAAAAAAATGTTTTCAGAACCATGAAATAAAATAACAGGTTGCAGAAAAGAATCTCCTTTAATTCCTCACACCCCTTTGCACAAAGACTCACTTATGCTCTATCGATGCAACAAAGTATCCGTGGGAAGCGAGCTCGACTGCAACTGTAGACGAAATGAATCTCGTCGCTCCAAAACCATGTGAGAAAAGTATGACCGGCATTTTTTTGCTACTAGGGGGGACCTCCCACATGGCTGGTACCATCGGTTCGCCTGATTAACCAAATCAAAATAAAATAAGGTGTACGAAGAGTATTTATACCGACACCAGTGACATCAAGGGTCGGGGGGGGGGGTTATACCTTAACCGAAAGTGGAATTTGGAGATCCCACAATAACAAAATGTTAAATAAATAATCAGTTTAAAACTATTAGTGAGGGAATTGATTAAAACTTAACATTCATATTTTGTCTAAAGAATGCAAAAGACTAGATTAAAATTATTTTATTATATTGTTTATTTATTTTTAATTTTATTGCAATTATTTCCATGTATAATACCTCCAAGCAACCAGATAACCCATTTTACGGCAGTAGTCCAATTTGTGACGACACCAGCCAGACTTTCGATGTACTTTTCATTAGGAGACCATTTTATCCATTTTGAAGGGTCGTTCTGAAACCATATAAAAGCTTGGCTACAAAAATAATAAAATGAACGAATAGGAGAATATAGAGAAAAAAAAATAGCACCTCTGTTTTATTAAATGACGAAGGGTAGTAAATTCGAAAAAATGTGCTAGAGGATGTAAAGTCATTCATAATGTCCAAAACACCTGCGGCATGGGGTCCTTAAGAAAATAAAAATAAGAAATATATGAAAAATCTTTGCCTTTTCACAAATTTTATACGTAAAATATTTAAAAAGTTTTAAATTAAACAAATCTTGTTATTAAATGTTTATTTATTCTAACTATATTTTTCTAGAATAATAATGAGTTAAATTTTAAAAAAGACCAAAATGCTAAAATGCTGCCAAATTTAAGTTCAGAAAACACAATACAATTTTGAATATGGCAAAAAATTAAAAGTTTTAATTAAAAGGCAACAGAGGTGATCAAACATCTACAAAAAATAATATAAAATTTTCAGAATAGGAATACGAGCTAAGAGTCAGAGGATCGTCCTTACCCGATTGATTTATTTGATTATATTTATTTATTTCTATTTTTTCCTTGTATATACCTCCTAGCAACCAGATAACCCATTTTAAGACAATAAGCCAACTTGTTGCCAAGCCAGACTTTCAATGTACTTTTGTTAGACCATTTTATCCATTTTGAAGAGTTATTCTAAAACCAAATAAAATAATTGGCTAATAAAATAATAAAATGTATTAGCCATATGTGGTTGACAAACAGGCACCTGCTTTTAGGCCTGTGCAAGTACCTTTTATACAGAGAGAGGTTGCTCTAGAGACATGTCATGTTTGGCTCCATATAGAGAGCATGTTGGCATGCAGCTGGATTTAAGAACGGTTCTCGAGCACAGCATTTGGTTTCTGGGTCCCCTGTTCCGTGTCTTAGAGGACGTGGTGATATTTTACCTTTTTTATATAGTTTTATTTTATGTTTTGTTTGAATGCCTGTATTTATTAGTGTGAGTGGTGAGGGGTGATGGTGAAGTAGAGCATCACCATCGCCATTCCAGCAGTGTGTATTTAGTTATTTATAATACATTAAATTTATATATTTATAAATATATAATATTTATAAAAGTACCCCATCGACTCTAATTTAGGTTAGAATATATGATGTTTGTTGATCAACCTGCAGATAATCTATGTAGAGTTACAATCTTCGTAGAGGTCATTAGACAGGTGAAGAAAGAAGAAGATAATTGTTGGGTTCACCAAGCTTTCGGCAACTTGTACTGCCATCATCAGTGCTTTCTGCACTCATGGGAAAGCCCTGATGATGGCACTATAAGTTGCTGAAAGCTTGGTGAACCCAACAATTAGTCTTCTTCTTTCTTCACCTGTCTAATGACCTCTACGAGATTGAAACTCTACTTAGGTTAGAATATTATTAATAATGTGAGTAGGTTGGTGGAGGAATATCCAGTACTTCAACAACTAATCAGAATGAATGCAATGTATGAAAATATTTATTAGTGCGTTGGCTTATCTAATTTAATTAGTTATGAGATTGCAGTTTGAAATAGCTTAGCTGTTGAGCCTAACCCAGTTGGTAGAGAAGTGATGAACTCCTGAGCATCTGGCTTAAGGGGGATACTAACGACCCAGCCACACAACAGTAGTGTGACAACTCTTTGGGGTGAAAGTCCGAATAAGCTCAAGTAATATGATAGTTCTCAGAGAAGAAAAAAATAGCAAGTTTGTTGTTTAAGCTACAATCCATTATATTGTTGATTGTAAGTTTTCAATTTATATGGTTTTACAATTCAGAAAATGTTTTCATGCATCAATCTCAGGCTGATCCGGCATTGTCAGAGTACTTGAACAATGATCAACATCTCACAGACATACCAAAGAGAATCACACTAGAAAAATAAGTGGGTTTTAACAAATGCAGCTGTAATGTCCAAAATTGCAAAAAAATATGCTATTAAATTGTAAAATATTAGCATGATTAGGAATATTTGAACTGCTTATATGACAAATGTTAGTGAACAGTGAACCAAATTTACTTTTAAAAATCTAATTTAGCAGGAATGAATATTAAAAATATAGATGGAATTCAAGGTTGGCAGATTCTTGCAAAATTGTTTGGCAGATATCTGGAAAAAATGGCGACTGGAGTATCTGACCACTCTACAGCAACGTACGAAATGGCAACGGCAGACCGACAACATGGCTCTTGGAACGCTTGTTATGCGTGACGCACAAGTACATCCCTTATCATGGCCTGTCGGACGCATCATTGAGCAGTACCCGGGTAAGGATGGGGTGATACGAGTTGTGCGCATAAAAAAGCCCTCAGGAGAATATACGCGTCCGGTTACACATCTATCTCCTCTGCTCCCTGAACCCTGAATCTTTCCAATCCTGTTCTCTCTGCAACGTCTCTTTTCTCTCAGTGAAATTTCTATTGAAATTTGGTGGGCGGTATGTTTACGCCAGAGAGAATTTTATTCATTTTTTTTTTTAATTTTGTTTATTTGTTCAAATATCCATGGAGACGAAAAACAAAAAAAAGGGTCTCGGGGTCCAGCTGGCCAGTTATTATGGGTGAGTGGACGAACGCGTTTGTCTAATTCTTTTTGATCTCGATTTGTAATCGAAGTTACAATTTACGAGTACCTCGCCGGATTCCGAAGTTATTTGTTTTCTCTTCGCCCGCTCATCGCTGTGGAATCACGTCGCCTGCAATTCTTCATCGCACATCATTTTGCTGTTCACAGGTCAGATTTTTCCTTTCGGCTGCTCACATTTTCTAATAAGACTTTAATTTGAAGTGTTTGTTCTCATAATTGTTAAGTACTGTGAAAAACATTTAAAACCAAGTTTTTTGTATAGTTTGATTAATTTTCTGTAATAAGTCTGTCACTATTCTCTTTAATCTATTGACCCTGGCCAGGTCACTTTGTTGTTCAACTTATGTAAATTAAATTAACTTTATCGCCCAATGTATGTATATCATATTAATTTAATTTAGTTTAATTTAATCTATATTTCTTCATATCGCGTTCTGATTCTGTCAGGGAGTCAACGTGAAGGTACAGGTTCCGGCGAACTAGCAAAGGTAAGGAGTGTTGCTCCCAATTAAGGATAGCCCCTTCTTCCAACACATTTTAATCCATTTATGTTAGGTGGTCTAATTGACCATATAAATTATTTCAATTATTATTTTTATCTAAGGTCTTGGTTGATGAAAAAGTTACTGTCATGAGCAAAATTCGAACCCATGACCTTCGGCTCAATAAGCTGCTGCTTTACCTCTTGAGCTATCGTGACTTCGATCCACTCAGACACCAACTTCCCATCTCAACACCCGCTGCTCGTGACACTAACTTTTTCATCCCAACCAAACTTTACATAAAAAGAATAATTAATTGAACTAATAATAATATTTTATCCAAAATCTGAAAATAAAAAAAAACCAATTCAAAACAAAAGTTTCAAATTTTAAAAAAAAGTTTCTATTTTAAGCTGACTGAGAGTGATTTAACGGTTGAGAAATGTGAAATGACTTGCAGACCAATCAATAAGTCATTACCATTGAAAAATAAACTGTTTCAGGTGCAGATTCTGGAAGCATATGTATAGACTCAGAACAGTGGAAAAAAAATTCATCAGTACTCCTAACTATGAAGTCTGAAAATATCAAAAATAACAATCAATCAATCAAAATATCTTTATTCAGGATCAATCATATATATTCAAGACATAAAATATTTTATGTATTTTTATGATTATATTAACCTCAACATATTTTAATGTAAACCACATTAAATGTGATCCAAAATTCATGTGTTTTAATAAAAATTATTTAAAGATAATGGTTTGAAAGAAAATTCACCAAAACACCCAAAACACTGGAAAATCATTTAGTGATTTATTAAAATTTATTACCTGGCTTTGGTCTTAATAACAGGTATACTTACTCTGGCCTCATGGAGGGACTTAAGTCTCCTAAGCATTGTGTAAATAAGCAACCAGATTTTGTCTTGTGAAACAGAAATCCATTCTTCAACAAGAGCAGTTTGTTCAACGCTTGCTGGAGGTGGTGAACGACGCCTAACTTGTCTCCTAATCATGTACCATAACAGTTCTATGGGTTTCATGTCAGAACACGCAGGTTAATTCATTGTGTTAATCCTTACATCCTACAGGTAATGAATGACAACTCGAACTACAAGTGGTCAAGCATTATTATTATTATTAACAAGAATTTTTCTCCAATAAATGGAGTGAGAATGGGACCACAGCTTCCAGAAGAACTTCCTCAACGTACCTTAGTGTAGTCAAGGATTCATTCAGTATAATAATCAGTTCAGTACAGGCATTGATTCCATTCATACCATAACTGACTGTCTTCGAAAAGGCTGTGATTCATACATGGCACATGCAGCAAAGCGTTCTTCACATGTTCTCCAAATCGTCCCAGTCATATCATTGCCACAAACCAAACCGGCACTCATCTGTGAAGAGAACAGCCATTCAAGTGACCAAGCGAGATGCTGATTTGCGAATAGTAACACTTCTACTCGATCACTCTCCAGATAACCTAAACGTCAAGGGAGGCTATTGTCAAGAAGCCTTCTGATGACTGTTTTCGAGCTCACCTTGCATTACAGACTGTTTATAGTTTACTACCTATCAAAGAAGCTGTTAAATGAGTTTTGTAGTGCGGTAAGAGCACTCTTGCTGTCATCCATCACGGTCGACCACAGCCTTGTCTTCGATCAACTCTTCTGGTGGTCATAAATCGCAGTTGACCATCATGAATGGTAGAGCGCAGTATACCCCGGGAGCTGGGCTGTGTAACAGATGTTATGTCAATTGTTGGCGTAAGCATCTGTCCAGGCAAACTCTTCTCAACTTATAAAACAAAAACAAAAAAATGTTGGTGATGGATGAACTGTTGATAAATGCTCAACAACTCGCAGACATCAAATTTAGAACCTAGGGTATCTGAAAATTTCCAAAATTTCCCCAAAAGTTGTTTAATTCAAACATCAAAATGAAAGATTGAACAGATCATGGTGATATGAGATGATCAAACTACTGACTAATATTCAACAAATCACATAACCAATATCATAAGACCTTAATGGATGAATGGACTTATTCTTTCTCCATAAATATAAAAAGTAGACCGTGTTAAATTGAACAACTATATAATTCCAGACATTGTCCAGAATTTTTTTAAATTGAATATAAAAGGTAAAATGACTGATATGTTAAAATGGACGTACCCAAAGAAAGAGGCAAATTTTTCGGTATCTTCCACCACATTTTCAACAATAACAGGCGATTTGTTCTCCTTCGGATCTTCGAACAGGTCCGCAATGACTATCCCTTTAACACGGAAATTGTCATTGACTGTCAATATGGACAGTGGACGGGTTTTCCCTCAGTGAGCCGGCGAAACGGGACGAAATTCCCCCTTTTTTCCCCTGATCTTTTCCCCAGAACTCGTTCTCATCAAAGGCTCAACGATCGCTTTCGAACATGGTCAAGATCCGTGCGCATATCTTCTCGTTGAGGATGACGATCGTGAGGAGGGTGTAGAGCCATATCAGCTTCGTCGATATTGCGTTCAGGTAGCGGACGAACTTGACCATATCCATTGCTGAAACAATTTAAAAAATATTTCTTATTCTACTTTTAAAAATATTTTAAAGCATATGTTTTTCTTTAAAAAAGAAAAAATGATTGATTTGAGCAGATATATATGCCGAACCCTATGAGCAGCATGAGTTCACCGACTCGCAGATCATCTGCACCACTCATTTTATTTAGTTTAAAATTAAATCTATTATCTTTCTACATTAATTATAGGTAATTAGGAGCGATCATAGTAAAAATAAATAATGCTTTGTTTACGTCCTTTATTTACTTTTATATTGATTAATCCCATTTGCACAAACATAGCATTATGCCCTTCCATTTTGCTACGTCTAAAAATCGCTTTTAGTTAATACCTTCGTTCATTTCATTGGATATTCTTATTATTAAAGATTTTTCAATGGCTCTAGTCACGCATATGTAGTGAGTATGATAGTGTCAGCGTCATTATTAGAGGAAAGATGCAGACAGCGCGAAGTCTCCAAGGAGACTGAATGTAAGTCACTCTAAAGTATGAAGGGTTTTTCGGCGCTTCACAGAAATAGGGCTTCATAATAGAAAGCCAGGACAAGGTCGACCTAGGTTTTCGGATGAGAGAGGCAATAGATTCATCCATCACTGGGCTCAAGAAAACTGCAGCATTACAGAAAATGAGGTAAGAAATGAAACGTTGTGGGGAAAAACAGGCTAAGTACACGATTTGTTTTTCCAAATGAAAATTTATCCATATTGCAAAAATATTTTCAATATTTAATTTTTGATTTGATGTGAAAGGTGTTTAAATTTAATAGCTGTATTTTTCATTAAATTTTTAAGAACAGCCTAGTGCTTCAAACATAATGGTAAATCGATTTTTTGCTCTCCTGTAAAATTTAGAAAAATGGAGATGTACTGTTTTTCCCCTGACCCCTTCAAATCTGATACGACAAGTCCGAAATGTTTCAATTTCCTCCAGGACTGTAAGAAGGAGGCTCAATGAAAATAACTAAGGATCTGGTACCCCATGCTCATGGACCACTTCTAACAACAGCTCAGAAAATGGTCAGGAACGGGAATGCGGGAATTGGACATTGGAAGATTGGGGACGAGTTCTCTTTACAGATGAGATGAGAGTTGGTCTCCAATCTCCAGCTGGGCGTAAGTTCGTATGAGAGACGCGCTGAAGAAAAGTACGTCCCAAGCTGTATGCTTCTTCGGGTGGCATTCCACAGTGGGTCATTGTGAGATCGCATTTCCTTGGATGCCCTCACCGAATTGGTTGTTATGCGAGGATTATCTAACTTCAAGGAGGTACTTACAAGACATAATCGAAGAATATGTACTACCATTTGCCCCCCACATCGGTGAGAGATTCTAGCTAATGCAGAATAATGCCAGGCCCCATAGAGTACGTATTGTGGATGACTACGTGATGATGTTGGAATTGAGTGCTTGGTGTGGCCAGCTCGAATTTCAGATTTGAACCAAAAAAAATATCACATATAGGACCAACTTAAACGGTGGGTACGACGGCGAAACCTAGGTCCTAAAACCATCCAACAGTTGGAAACGGCTGTTCTTGATAAATGAGAAAGAATTCCTCAGGAGTTTACCAGATATCTTTTTCAAGGAACGCCAATTTTCTGTATTTCGTAGACGTAGAACATTTGCCAGAAGTTCCATCATAGTATTTGAAAATTGGGAGTCTTCCTGCTTAAAATGTTGCATGAGTTTGATTTTCGATGTGGGAGGCGTAGAACACTTGCCGGAAGTTCCATCATTTCTGATCTTCCAACCCTGACCATCTTTTTCAAAATCAAATCTCTTTTTTTATAAAGTCTGAAAATTGGCAGTCTCCTACTTAAAATCTTGCATGAAATTCTATGTGCAAAGGTACTGAAATCAACCCTTCTTCCGATCTGCCTATGTTTTTACTTTTTCCCAATCTGAATATTTCCTCCTATGGTCTGGGGTGATGAACCTGTAATGCGATAGTTACAGATCCTCTTTGTGTGCCTATTATCGCTGATCGATCTGTCAGACACGTTTCAGCATTTAAAAAAATATTTGTCCAATAGGTCGAGTTAGTTTCTTATGTAGATAGACAGATAGACTTACTTTTATTGGTAAATGTGTACATAAACAAACAAATAGTTGATATAAGCATTACAGCATGCATAGAAATCCGTCTGCCGGATGTTGTCAAAATAAATTATAATTCTTTATGATGATATTTTTTACTAGAATGTCAAAAATAATATATAAAATAGAAATATAAAGGTGTTTCTTATCTATAAAAATATAGTCAGAGATGGTGCTCATATGTTTTCATTGCGTCAAGCCTTTATCATACGTATGTATCACTGAAGATGGCAAAATGCCGAACTGGTCTATAGGCAGACCAAGATGATCAGGTAATCTGAAATATTTTCTCGAAATTTCTGTATTACGTATTTAATTCTATCCAGCAGTTTGATTAAATTTGATCATTTATACATTCTTTCCTACAGTTTATAACTTAAACGTCATATTGGTCAGTGCTTCACGATGTTCTTCAAAATAAAACAACTTGGTCATTTGTTATGCCTTGTAGTTGGCCAGCGATACTTCGAATTTTTATCTTAATTTGATCATCCTTAATTATCCTGACCTGCCGATTCTCTGTGATATTTCAAATACAAGTCTTTTTTTAATTATAAAAGATTTCGAAAACTTTATAATTTAGTATTCTAAATCTTTCTAGGCTTTTGCTTTTGAATGGCGATTCTTCTACGTGTTTATGGAACATAGAATATTTCTCACCATCAAACTAGTCTTTGTACGTGTACAAGCTGTTCGACCATTCTTAATCTCAACTCTATCGTTTTTATAATCAAAAGTGTGTATTATCTTTTTTAAATTGGTTAATCCTTCCAGTTAAAATACTTCAGAAATTGGATGGCTGATGAGGAAGTCGTAAACCTTCAGAAGTTTGATCTTTCCTTATCCTCCAACTTTGGCCGTTTTATTTATCATCAAAAGTATTGATTCTATTTTTTTTTGCAATTTTACTCATTTGAAATTGTTTGCCAGAATTGTTTGGTTTGCTAGCTGAACAACATTGACAATAGTTCGATTTTCCTTAAGAAGCCTCCTCAATCAACTTTCTTTTATTTTTGTAATTTTCAATTAACCAAGGTTAAAAGTACAAATACGTGTTCGTCTTTCATTTTTATACATACCTACCTGTGCTTTTGCTAAAGGAAGTCTCTCAAGGAGCTGCAAGTCGTTAACCATAATAATTGTCAAGAGAAAACTACTAGGTTATCGTAGAAAGCACGCCGTCCTTTCATGTATACCTGGAAATTCCCTCCGAGTATATTAATTAACAGTCAAAATGAGGTAGAAGGTGGACCCACCATATGGCCGGCCAACATTCCATCTCAGGCATTAGTTTTTTTCTAGAGCTGAGTGGGTCGGCGTCTCAAAAGACAGAGGCAGTTCTCATATCCGCAATTACCTATTTGAAAATAGCGACATTGTCATGTAACTGCTGATGACAGTGAAGCAAGACTTGATTATGCACCGATGCTTGACAACCTAAAAAACATTTCTTCAAAGTGTATGATCATATAATTCATAAAACTATAGATAGTATGCTGAATAGAAACAGCAGATCAGGGATGATCAACATTATTACTTCAATAACCAACTTCGTAGCCAAAAAAAAGTAGTTTTGAACTTAGCACAATTAAACATTACACAGAAATTAGTAGCCTTTGATACCAATAAATATTAGTAACAACGGATAAACTGAGATCCTCTGGTGATTAATGTTCATCAAGTCGTAAATTGTCATACTTGGCTTGCAACAATTTACAAGCTACATCCAACAAGACTTTAATTTTACGACCCAAACTAGTAGTTTTCCCATAGTTCAAATCTGTGATATAATTTTATGAAAAGACAAGAAGGATGGTTATAATTTTACAAATTTGAATAACTTGCAATACCGTCCAACTGTTATTATTAAATCTCCTTAGGTTGTAAGTATCGTATTCACTCTTTTGCAAATAAAATTCACCCTTTTGGAGATTGAATTCATACTTTTAGAAATTAAATTCTCTCTTTTATCAATCAAATTCACCCTTTTGAAAATTAAATCCACTCTTTCACAAATTAAATTCTCTATTTTACTAATAAAATAAACTCCATTGCAAATAAAATTCATTCTTTTATAAATTAAATTCAATCTTTTATAAATCAAATTCATCTTTTTTGCGTAAGATCCTGCGATATATGGACCACACGCGCCCTATCCTTAGAAATAACGCTTCGGCCAAATTCAATTCCGACATAGCTAAATTGTTTTCAGAGCAACTTTCAACAATATCCACTCCACACCATGATATGCTTGACCATGACCATAGGCACGACATTGAACACGACTTGAATATCCCCTTGCAACTTTCTCCTCCTCCTGAAGCATTTAATCCATCAGACATACGACACACTGTTAACAACTACCTTCACGAAAAGCTCATGATCTAATTACAACACAAATATTACAAAATTTGCCCCACAGAGGCTTACTTTACTTAACATACCTATACAATGCTGTACTCAGGATCACATATTTTCCATTGCAATGGAATTTCTCTATAATTAAAATGGTTCATAAGCCAAATAAACTTTCTGATTTTCCAAGTTTCTATCGACCCATCAGTCTCCTTTCTATCCTTGCCATAATTCTAGAAAAACTACTTCTCCGACTATTATTCCAGATCATCAGTTTGGATTGCACACATTTCACGCGACAACTCAACAGTTGCATCGTGTTGCAGACAATATAGCCTCTTCCCTTGAACAAAAACAGCATTGCTTGGGTGTCTTTCTTAAATTAGAACAGGTCTTCGGGGGCTTTCTTTGGAAACTGAAGAACATCCTCCCTCATACTTATATATCTCATATTGACGGACCGATTTTGCCGAGTCCGTCAGGGAACTGAATTCTCACCTTATATTCGCGTTCCTCAGGGAAGCATACTTGGCCTATTTCTATTTTCAATATACACTGCAGATATTTCTTCACGTGGTAACATTTCAATACATTCGCTGAAGATATAGCGATTCTTACACGTAATTCGGACCCCTCAATTAACGCTCAACACTTACACAGCAAACCTGAATGAATTAACAGTATGGTTCACAAAGTGGAGAATGAAGATAAACCTAACGAAAAGCGTATAGATAAATTTTACCTTACGTAAAATATACAAAACATCTTTCCTGAGTGACTATAAATGGAATCCCATTGCCTAACCACTGACCTTGTGCTTTCTTGGACTTTCCATGAATAAACTACTGACTTGGAATCCCCACACAAGACTGAAAAGAAAACAAACAAACCGACGTTATAAATTATTAAAAAGACTACTTGTCTCACGATGAAAATTAGCCATTTAAAACAAATTTTCAATTTACAAGACAATTATTAGACCTCTCTGGACGTACGGTTGTGAAGTGCGGAGCTTAACCAAGAATTCCAATTCCAAATGTCTCCAATCAATCCAGTCTAAAATCCATCGTTATTATAAATGCTCCTTTTTATGTTTCCAATTAACTATTCATAATGACCTACACATCCCATTTGTACATGAACTCATCAAAACCCGCTATAAAAAATTTCATCAATCATTCATACAATAATCTTTTAGTACGACATTTATCACTTACAACTCTACCTGAAACACCGAGACCTTTTCATTGAGTGAAAATTGAAAAGATTTAAGTGTGAAGGAGTGTTGCCACAAGGCTTTCAGTTGCAAGAGACTCATATGACAATTCCAACATATACGAACATATTTACTTAATACAATATTTGTAGTTGTAAATATCAAATAAATGTAATAAAAAAATTCTTTTTCGTTAATTTAAATTCTCTTTTATAAACTAAATTAATCTTTTACAAATCAAATTCACCCTTTTGCAAATTAAATTCACTCTTCTGAAAATCAATTTTTCCCATTTGCAAATTGCTTATATAATTCTGTTAAAACATCTACAACGTTCAACATTGTACTTCAACCTAGATGGAAGTAGTGCATTCCATTTGTCCACTTTTATGGAATGTACATTATTAAATGGATCAAAGATCAATTTTTAGCTACAGAGAGATCTTGGAGAGACTAGAAAACCGGAGACAAGAAGAACAAGACTTCAGAAAATAACATCCAATTCTTTTTATGATTAAAAATAAATAAAGCTACACTAGTTTAAAATATAAACATTTATTAAACGTATAAAAAAATATAAAATGTTCTCTCGATTTATACATTCTACGATGGCATAAATAGGACGGAAAGTCAAATGACAATAAATTAGTTAAGAAATATGAAGCCCGTTAACTTGCGGCAACCATAGGCTCAGTCGATTGGGTCGACGTCGGTGCTGATCTCGTCGTCGGTGTCGATCTTGTCGAAGCCGCAGTGCCAAGGATTTCAACGGAGCGAACGGACGGCCGTACTGTTGAAGGTCTGGCCAAGAGCATCTTGATGAGTCCCGGAGAAGGCGGCCTCGTGTCAGCCGTGTCCCTGTGATCGTGAGAATCCATCCTTTCTTTCAGCAAAGCTATTTGATCCTGCTGCTGGGACACCTGTTCCGGCTGAGAGTACTGGACGTTCGTGTTGACGTACGGGTACGGGAGCGGTGGCTGCTGGACCGGCGGCCTGTAATATGGAATCCTGGGTAAGGGCGCGGGAGGGGGTTGATAGTAATCGTCGTATCTCGGCTGTTGGTAATACGGTGCCTGCACTGGTCTCCTTGTCCTGTACTGCAAGTACTGGATGAGATAGTTCATTATTTCTTCCCTGAGAGCTTCGTAATCTATGGGAGGGTAATCGTATTGCTGCCTGTACGCGGGAGGAGCCGGTCTCCTCGGCACCGGGTACACCTGTTCGTCGACGACGGAAGGTCTGTATCTCCTCGAGCTCAAAACTCTATCAACCATGGGTACGACTGCGGGCACTTCAGGGTAGTCTTCCTCAACGGGTGTATAATAACGGACCCTGGGATAGTCCGGTTTCAGATTGCTCTGTTCCAATAGCATGTTCCTGTAGACTTCCCTCGGGTCGGGCCCTATTATCTGCGGGTACCTGAAATTCCTCGGGACGTTCGATCCCGGAGTGTAGATGTCCTGGTTGTCTCTCGATCTGTCGAGTTGCCTTCTTATTAAATTTGGAGACTTCTCCAAAGGCCTTTTCGTCACCAAGACTCTGATGGGCCTTTCCGTCGTCCTCGTGTAATCGTACGTCGGCGTCGTCGTCTCCCCTCTTCTGAGGACCTGCCCGGCGTGATTGTTTCCCCGATAAACTAAAACGGGTTTTCTTGTTGAGCTCTCCCTTTCTCTGCCGTAATTTGTCGCCTGGAAGCCAGTACCGTTGCTCGCGGAGTACGAGACCCTCTTCAGCTCGCCGGTTTGGTCGATGAAGCCGAACATCCCCTTCACGTTACCGAGGACATCGCGGGTCTCTATTTTAAAACTGCCATCAGCCGCCTCGTACCCGAAAGTGTACGTCCCGTCTTCGTTGACACGATTGATCTGTTTTATTATGGGCACCTCTTGTTGCTCCTCTTCGGCCGAAACGAACAGGAACAAGCCCAAGCACACGAATCCCTATAAAAATAACTTATTAGAATATTTTTTAGAAAGGTCTTACTGAGTAAACATTATATACTAATACATTAACAGATAAAAACAAATATCTATTTCAACCAAAGAAAGCGCAAATCTTCCGAGAGAGCAAAAACAAACCGATATATTCCTATCATTCCTTCGTTTTTAAAAGCGCATAAATTCACGCGACTGACGGAATATCTAACAGGCGAACCTCTGAATGAAATGCCCAAACACGTCTGGTTGACAAAATCGGTGAAAATATTGTAGCCAGACTAGAATTTTCGGAGACAATTAAATCATTAAATAAACTATAAAAAGTAATATGTACATCAAAGATAATTTTTTATCAAGGGAAAAGTAGATTGTAAGGAAATTTTTTGACATAATACATTTGTGATAGTAATATAAAGTACCATGATGATAGAAGCCTTTACATTTTTAAGAATTAATTAAGTAAGGCAAAAAAAAATTAATTAGTAGTAAACAATAGCATTTTTAAGACAAACGTTTTTGCTAATAGCATGTGCAATTATTTTGCCATAGTATTTTGGTATGATGATCCTCTACATCATCTACACTGCCGACATACCTACACATTCAAACACAACTATCTCGCGGACGACACCGCAATCTTATCTACGCACTATCCTACCCTAGCCATAGAAGCAATCCAAAATCTGATCCTCATTGCCTATGGTCTGCGCATCAGGTTGAACGAGCAAAAAAGCCAGCAAACATTTACGCTAATAATAATACGTCAAACCAGTCGTATAAACAAGGTTATATCTATCATCATACCAAGTCCGTTACCTTAGGCTTTACTTAGATAGCAGACTTACATGGACTACAAGATTAAAACAGCAAGACTTTAACAAAACGTAATTTAGTCACCTACTAAAATCAATAGTAAGCATACATAACAACTCACTTCTTACGAAACACTCATCAGACCTATTTCGACAAAGCTCGGCCATATCCTCCAACATCCAACGAATCCAATCCTTCCAATGCAAAGTTCTCTGCCACCAATGCTCCATTCTACGGCACCAATCAAATGATCCATAAAGACCTTAAAATCCCCATTCGTGAAGGATCCGAACATGCTTTATCTACATCCAATCTAAAATATTCCTTCACCCTAGTCAACTATCCAAAACTCTTTTCTCAACGTTCCACCCTTACAATGCTACTTTAAAACGTCGATGTCTTCGTGACCTTCCTTGCCCTTCCAATTAAATAAAAGGGAGTTCCACCACTGGCTGGTTTCTCTCCCCATTGTCAGATTTGTATATACCTATACTATTTTCTCAATGTATATTTATTTTGTAAAATAGCAATACAATTTTAAAAAAATGTAAGAAAGTAGTTTTGTGAATAAGGCATACTGAAATTGCTTGAAAGATGGCAGGAAGGTTAAACATTGAACGATTTAATTCTAAATTATTAGTTAATATTATTCATAGATTATTCAGAAATCGTGAGATGCGGTGTGGTGTGATGTAGGTTTCAGAAAAAACATTTTCTTTATCGTGCCAACGTTTCGATCTTTATTGATCATATTCAGCGCCTGGGATTTACAAACATTGCATTGTATAAATCCACTTTTTTTCCACATCCTACATGTATTTGTTAAATTTAAACAATGTTTGTAAATCCTAGGCCCTGAAGATTATCTCAATAAAGATAGAATATCGCTTAACGGTCACTAATTACCACACATTATTCATATCATTCAAATAATTAGAAATACAATTATAGACAATTAATAATGTGTATTTCTTTGTGACATGTTGTTTCATAATTTGTGAAGTCGTGAGGAGCGGTCGAGAATGAGGTAGTTTAGAAAAACACCTTTTTCATTGTTTTACCGACGTTTCTTCCTTCATTCCTGTCTTCTTCAGGGCATAAAATGTAGTGCTTGTGGTGTCATATCGGTTGTCATATGAAAAAGCTGTTTTTCTAAACTACCTCATTCTCGACCGCTCCTCACTCCTCACGACTTCAACACATTTTTAATAATTGTCAATTAGTAATTTAATAAAATGCCGTCAATGATATTAAGAATTTTATTAATTATTATAATTTAGATTATTTCAATTATTGCTACGATATATATATGATGATAAAGTTAAAATCGATCTTAAGAATGTATTGAAGGATGTGATGATATCCTTGTTAAGCAGATCCACCTCTTGGACGGCGCTTTGCCTTTGATAGTCCCAAAAAAGGACAAAGTTATAATGTGTGGGTGATGTCCTGGTAGTTGACGCCTTCACACGTGCAGTAGGGAACAGGACTTATCTGCCTTTCTTAAAAGTGTCCCATATATGGTCCATGTGCCATATGACCGTTTACAGGTCGATGGGATTTCTCGTAGTGCAGCTCTTGAATGAACGGTGAGGAAGTATTTCTTCGCCTGTTGTCCTTTACGCGTGGTTTTCCTTTTCTTTTCCCATTTAGTGATGGTTTTACCATACCCTTTTTTAACACGCGTTCTGGGAATCTTGATGTAGCTTATTGTCAATGCGTCGTTTCAAGCCTCTGGCCAGACGATCTGCCTCCTCATTTTCAAAATATCCAACCTGCACCTTCACCCAGTGCACTGCAATCTCTGATCCTATCCTTGAAATGCTTTTTATTTTGAATCTGTTTTGTTCTTCCAGTTAACCTCTAGTATTTGGATCCATGAGGGTATCTAGTGTGACCTGGCTATCGGTCATGATGCAAAGTTTTATGCAATGTTAGTATGTGCTATAAGCTCAGTTTCCACTCCACCGCTTTCAAGACAGCCAACTGCTCCGCTGTTAGAGCAATTTTTATGCAGTTTTTTATTTAGTCTCTTTCTAAACATCACATAGGCGTATCCAACATTGTCATTTGTTTTGCTTCCATCTGTGTAGATTAGGTACACCTCATCTCTTTCTTGGCTGAACTGTTAATTTATTTTAACAACTTCTGCTGGGTGGCTTCATTGTTTGAAACGAAGTGGTCTGTCCATTTAACATAATTTTTATATCGATGCTTGTCACAACTCTCGTTTGTACAGTGTGTTTACCCTTATATTATTATTATCATCATTATTGATTGATATTTATTTAGAAATCGTGAGATGCGGTCTTGTGTGATGTAGGTTTCAGAAAAACATTTTCTTTATCGTGCCAACGTTTCGATCTTTGTTGAGATCCTCTTCAGGGCTCAAAGTGTTTGTCTTCTGTGTAATTGTGCCATCTTGCGTGTCGTGTCGAGAGTCACAAGTTTATAATACTTGAGAAAGTAAATTTTATTTGTCTGAAATAATGCATAAAGTTATCTATAAAAATCAAGCGCTATATGCTGACCGTATTGTTACTGGAAAGACTTTCTTACTGATAAACCTAGTATATTTTGACAATATATATAAGCTAATTTTGGTCTAAAATAGATTTTGTTAAATATAATGTATTTTTTGAATAGAAAAGGGCCGAAATTTTAAAATCACAAAGCATTAATTCGCACGGCACGCGTAATTCACACGTTTCGTAATTTCTAAGCGAAAGGACCCTAATCAGAGGATTTCCTTAAGATTCCACTTTAGTGTAGATCATATCTTTTTTTGGATGTTAATTGCTAAAACCGGGAATGGGAGTGAAATTGGATTACCGTGAAATGAGAAAGCAACAGGATTAGATTTGTCGGTTTTGGTTCTCCCCTTCTAGACTTCTTTTCTTCTTCAGAGGTTCTTCGTTTGAACGGATTTTCTTCGTTCTTGAAAATTAAAAAAGCGCAATGTGACGACACGCGTAAAACAGCGGAGCACCGGGCGTTGTGCAAGTCCGCCGCCCCGTGAGAACGTTCCCAGCTCGGTTCTGTGAACGTTAGCACACCTCATTGATAAACCGGCCAAGAATTGAGACAGTACCTTTGTTGTCGATGGGAGTGGCCGATTTTACACTCGCTTATTGAAATTTCGATACGTGAAAAAAGAGCAATAACAACAATAACTGCCTAATTACTTCACAAATGAAGAAACAATAAAGTCAACAAGAATTGTATGCAAAGAATAACACACTAACTAACAAAATGTTCAAGTAAAGTGCACCAATGCATTAAAAAATATTTAAAGTAACTTCTAAATATAATTTATATACTCAATAATAATCTGTTTTATGACCATTAATTTTTGGTTTATTTACGTTAATTTATTCAATTTCTTTAATTAGAACAAGATTAACATACTCTTTCTTTCAAAGATCAAAACGTCTATTTTTGAAACAAATTTCAAAAGCGCCCAAATGTGTTCCGGAATGAAAAGACAAGTAAATACCTGAAAATTTCAGGTATCTATTTATCTAACATATTGGATATATTCAAAGTCTCAAAATTTAAAAAAAATTGAAGTAAAAGTAGGTTTAGAAGAAATAAAATTTTAAAGTTCTACTTAAAAACACATTAGAAGTAACTTTGACTAAGAATAAAATTGACAAGAACAGTTTAACTGTATTGTAGTGCTTAAATGTTTCAACGTTTGTCTATTTCGTAAAATAATAAAAAATTTCAAGTCAAGCCAGGTCAAAATTATGAATTTGAACAACTGCACTTAAAAAACATCTAATAAAAATATCTTACAATGACCTTTAACATTCTATTATCTTTCCTTATCCACAACAACAATGTATTTACTATTTATTTTGTAAAAATTGAATAATATTTATCTTTAACGATCTAACAAGATTTAGTTAAAAAAAAAAACAATAATAAAAATATAAATATTTTTCCACACGGAGAAAAAATCTATGTACATAAAAAAGAGGGTTTAACTGGTAACTATTTAGATAATTTAGGGTTTAGCTATTCAGTGATACATAATCTAATAAAATATTTAGGTAAAATAAATCCATGACGAATAATTTCTAAAAGGTTACTTAAAGATCTTAAGTCCTATAATAGCAACTTGGTCTGATTTTTCTTCTTATATTAGAACGACCACAACGATAACAAATATATTATTACTTTGTAAA